TAAAAAATTATAAGAGAAAAATTATAAAAAATAAAAAAGATAATGAGATAAAAAAATTTAAAAGTTAAAAAAAATTTAAAAAAGTAAAAAACCCAAAACAAATTAAAACTAACCCTGCCGCCCCCGCCATTTGGTTGCCATTCTCCATTGGGGGGTTGGCGGGAAGGGGGGTGAATTGAGAAACCTGACTTTGGGGCAGCAGAGAGTAAATAGGGCCCTGTCCTGAATAATAATATTAATAATAATAATCTGTTTACATCGATTAGTGACACACAAACACTTTTTTCTATCTTTTTTTTTAATGTTGACACACAAAATAGACAATACAAAGGTTCACACTCCATAGTCCAGCCACAGAGGTATCGCAAAGGTATCAAATTTGGCACATGGATCCGAAAAGTAGCACAAAGTGTTCCACACAAACAATAACATAAAAAAAACAACAATAACACATTTAATAATATAATAAAAGTACAACATTAAAGTACAAACTGCAACGTTCTAAGTGGCGATAATGATGAACATGTCAGGGGGCATTTATAAAAACCAATGCCTATTATGAAATAGAACCGATACAACAGGGATAGGCTACGTTTGACAATGCAGCTATGCTGAAACTACAAATCCCAAAATACTTGTGGTTGTCAGAGTTTTGCAAAGCCTCATGGGACTTGTAGTGCCACAGCAGCTGGATTGCCGAAGATTCCCTACGCCTGTTATACGGCATGTGCACTTAGCATGACAGTCCCTCTCTATGGTGGGCTCTGCAGGGTCATCCTCAGGTGGGCTGGTCACACTCCTTACCTGTCCGCCTCTTCTTCCTCCCTCCTCCGTCGCCGAGCCCGCTCCCTCCTCCGTCGCCGGGCCAGCCTCTTCCTCCGTCGCCGGGCCAGCCTCCTTCTCTGTTGCTGACCCCCGGGCCCCGCCTTCTCCTCGCCTGCCGGATCCAGCCTCCTCCACCGCCGCTGCTGGCTCTCATTGACTCAGCAGCGGCTGTGGAGACGAATGCATCGCTGCACAGATCACCAACAGTGATCTGAGCAGCGGCGTGTTCAAAGCCATAGCGACCCAGGTGGCCCGCACGGCATCAGGGGGGTGTCCTGGCCGGGCCGCCCTGTGCCCGTGCCCCATAGCGGCCGCCTCGGTCGCTATGGCGATTGTTACGCCACTGGCCACAGGCATGACTGCCAGGGGCAGAGGCATGGTGGGATTTGTAATTTCAGCACAGCTGGAGTGTCAAGGTTGCCTACTCCTGCTCTAAACTTCCTGCACTGATGGCTAGCACAATGCAATGTTCTACCACTGCATTCAGAATTGCAAAATACTTCATATTCACTCTCAGGGTTACAATGGCTCCCATGGCCATTCACAATAGTGTATTCAGCCTGGTTCAGCCCCTTTCATTCCCACGGTCGTAGCGCAGCTGCTTGAGCCAATGTTCCCGGACTGCACGGCTTTTCCAGTTTTAATAAATGCCCAACCGTACCAATGCGCCAGACGCTACCGCACGACACAAATAATCTCTATCTAAAATAATAGTACAACAAAAAGGAGTACACGAGACACCGGTCTAAAGTCTGCACATAAGTACATACCAAAATCGAAGCACCTATCGGCTTGTGAAACATTGACTATCAATGAGAATAAGATTTACAGTTTCAATGAGTCCGTAAACAAAAGAAGTCGCTGAGTTTGATGCGCGCGGTCGTAGAGAAGACATTATGGTTCCGACCTGTGCAGGATTGTAACACAGCCGTGATAGCTGGTACAGCGTTGCAGAGGGGGTTCCGCGCTCACGTGCCCCGATTTTGGGTCGTACACGAAAGCTTTCTCGGTTCCTTCTCCGTTTTCATCCCTTCCGCCCAGGATGTAAATCTTCCCACCGCAAATGGTCACTCCGCAGCTCTCCTGCAAATCAGGATTTGTGTTTTAGTGACAGAGATTGAAAAACTGGTGACAACAAATCTGATTTCTGCCTGAAAATACCTCCCAGGACAAACGCTGCTTCCTGCTCTCCCACTGCAGTGCTCTGCATAGAATACAGCTAAACCCCCCATATCACCCCTCATCAAAAGTGTCCTCAAACAGACTTGTATGGCAAAGGAATATAGGGGAGGGTATGTCTGACCAGGTTTGTAACTAAGCGCTGATTAGTGAGTGCACTGGGTCTGCACAGTTCCCAGGCCTTCATAGCTGCTGTGCCCTTATGAGGGGTCCCTGCCATCCCTGCAGTGAGTTTGCGGCTCTGTACACCTGCTGTGCCCATTATAAGGGGTTGCCACCATCCTTGAGATGAGTTCCTGGGTCTGTACACCTGCTGTGCCCATTATGAGGATTTCCCACCATCCGTGTGCTGAGTTCCCGGCTCTGTACACCTGCTGTGCCCATTATGAGGAGTTCCCCCCCATCCCTGTGCTGAATTCACGGGTCTGTACACCTGCTGTGCCCATTATGAGGGGCTCCCACCATCCCTGTGCTGAATTCCCGGGTCTGTACATCTGCTGTGCCAATTATGAGGAGTTCCCCCCATCCCTGTGCTGAATTCCCGGGTCTGTAAACCTGCTATGCCCATTATGAGGGGCTCCCACCATCCCTGTGCTGAATTCCCGGGTCTGTACATCTGCTGTGCCAATTATGAGGAGTTCCCATCATCCCTGTGCTGAATTCCCGGGTCTGTACATCTGCTGTGTCTATTATGAGGGATTCCCACCATTCCTGCTGGGTATTTTGCTTCTTTTACATTATGCAACAGGAGGAGGTAGAACATACAAAGGTGGATGGGGACACCCAAAACTTCCAGGTGGACAGGAGCAGAACCAGGAATTATGGCAGGGAGATCTTATTGAAATCATGAACTCACTCAACCCACCAGGCTCCATCTATCACTAAATTATTACTTTGGGGTAAATCGGCCCTTTAACTCTCCAAACTAATTCTATTTTTATTAAGTGGCAGATAGTACACTCACCAGAGGGCCTGGCAGGGAAGCGGCTTCACTCCACTCATCTGTGTTTGGGTTGTATCTAAATATTGTGCTCAACAGACCCCCAACAACGTAGATCATTCCATCCAACTCAACAGCATTGATACACCTCTGGGAGAAGGGGGATGGAGACTTGTATGTCCACTTGTCTTCTTCTGGGTCGTAGCACTGGACCTGGAAAGAAATTAAAATTCAACTTAGTAATAAAAAAGTTTCACATATATATTACAAGGATCTAGCAACATTTATGTAAATTTCTGCACACTGCCATCCTGGGCAACAGGCTAAGGAAGAGCAGCTGCTAAAATGTGTACAGCATTCGATTTGAACACATTCTGGATGAAGATCTGTCCTGTTGGCCATTGTAACAGGGCAGAAAGTGACAAGACATCCAAAATTGAAGGTTGTCCCCAAAACATAAGGTGAGTGAAATTATCCAATGGGGACACCTGGTCTAGTGTTAAGTTTGTAAAAGTACATTTCCCCTCATTGACATGATACTATCGAAATCCAAATAAAACTGGTTTTATATGGACATTGTCAACGTATTGTTCATGCTGAGAGCAGTGAAGTTGGTGGCCCTCCGTACCTTGTCTGTGTTCCCATAATCCTCTACTGCTCCTCCGATGACATAGAGCTTGTTCATACAGGTCACCACTGCCGCAGAGCTCACAGCTTCCAACATGGGAGTTCCTGGGATCCAGGCGTTAGTGAACGTGTTGTAGCGCTCCACCGTAGACAACCTTTTCATGCCATCAAAGCCCCCAACAGCGTAGATCTAGGGAATTAAAGTGGGATATATTGATTTCTTTAATATCCAAAGTAAATATATACCAGATGGACAATCAACATATTAAAAAAGACAACTTCAATATAAAATCCATTGTTCGATATACATATTTGTCTCTCCCAATGAGTTTTTGTGCTGCTCTGTGCCATGTTTCAACACCATGTGTACTTAGAGTTGATCCAGAAACCTGGATGACATTCGATTCTGACTAGATTTCATGAATTTGGATGTCCTATACTAATTTCAGCTTTTTTGGGGGGTTCAGATTCCCAAAAGTCTTTTGGGAGAAGGGGAGCAAAGGCCGTTTCTGCCTTATGCCTGCCTGTCATATCCTCTGAGCACCCTTGGCTTGAGTGCTAGTGCCACCAGGTCCTGGCAACTCCTGAGTAGAAGTTTTAAAGCAAGTGGCTCAGTATGTTTTTTGACTCCCAGGAGCTTCGTAAACCATTTTGCACAATTTAGAGTCTGGTTGATTTGCATTGACTTCATGGAGACTTCTGATTCAGATATCCTGGGAATTTTTCAAAAATTGTGTACAAACCACAACTTATTGAAGTTCTCAGAAGTTCATACAGCTCTATGTGTATTGAAGAAATGATGACATTACCTAGACATGACTGTATGGTCACACACAGTGCTGCTCACACTTATTGCAGGAGAGAAGCAATAAAGGGAAATTAAGATGGTGTTTTTTTGTCCCATTGAGGTGGAACATCAACCAAAAATGTTGTTCTTGACTTGGACAGGATGGATGAGGCTTAGAACCTTAAGTTTTAGTTCTGCTTGTGTCTTGTTGAGGAAATATTTTTCATCGCTTATTGTAACAATTACAACCTTGTCACAAACACAAGAAGTAAGGGGAAATCTCTCCCAACTTACAGGCACTCCTGCCCCTCCATCCAGTCACAGGTGCAGGTCCCTCCGGGATCTGTCAGCCGCCTTCAGACTCACGTAGCACATATATGGCCACACTGTTCTCCTTTGGGCTAAAAACAACCCTATTATGCAAGGCTCAGTGTAAGCACTGACACTCCAACCCACTCCCCTCTGATGCATTTCGCCTCTTAACGGATCTGAATTGTACAATTAAGTTTCATTACAGGGTGAAATGTGTCCGCGTAAAGTTTGGGTTGGAGTGTCAGTGTTCATGCTGGGACTGAACAATAAAGTTGCTTTTAGCCAGAAGCACAGCAGAGTGCCTTCTATGTGCCATGTTATTAAAAAAAAGTGGGGAAGGATAGAGCCCCCATCTTCTCCATTTAAAGAAAATAAACACTCTCAGTATTGCTCATTCTCAGTAGTCACTGATCCGTGGTGAATGGAGAAGGTGAGTGTTGTGTAGGACGTCATAGCCAATGCCTTCTGCCCAACTCCTTTCATGGTAGAATTATTTTTAGCAAAATTCTTAAAAATGTCCTACCTCTCCGTTCAGAATGGCCATTTTGTGCCTCCATCGGCCCTTTGCTAATGATGCGATTCTGATCCAGGCATTGAGCTGAGTGTTAAACATCCAAACATCGCTGCTGTTAATGTGTCCACCTGAGGAAGGACAATGATGGAGGTCACATCATGATAATGAAGCCAGAATGAGCTTTTTCTTACTCTCTACCTGATGCAGATTTCTTATTTTCTCAGCTATTGTTTTTGGAAACACCTTAGGACCTTCTGATACATCCATTACAATTAAGCTAATTTCCTAATACAGCCTATCCTTTAAGAGCTGTCATCAAGGGCCCAGCCAGTTTAGGTCTCCATTTGTGTACTTGTTTCCCATATGCCATCTTGAATGTGTTTCCAAGCAGTTAAAGTGAAACTCCAACACTTTTTACATTTTAGATAGAGTAGGGAAGAACTAGAGACCTTGTTAGGGTTTTTTTGCACCCTCTAAATATTCTGGTGACCATTGTTATAAGGACAGAAGTTTAACAGGTGTCAATGGAACATTTGTGAGGGGAGATCTGCCAATGGCTTCACAGGCACAGTGTACAGAGCCAATCTAAAGGTCTCTGTAGTTAGTGATGGTTGTGATGGCCACTCACAATGATTGCATATGTAAACAGTACTACTGCCCATTTGCCCCTTACTCCCACAACATAAGAAGAAGGAACATCAATCATTAGTTCCAGATCAGCAGCAGATTCAAGGTAGGGGGGTTGTAATTTTGGGATAATTTATTAATTTTGCACTCCCCCCCCCTTCCTCCTTACATCTAATTTCCATCCATGGTACTCAAGTGGTTAAGAAGGGAATGTAAATTGGATGTACTCACTCTGGTGGCTTAAGAGCTCACCTCCATATTGAATACAGTAGAAAAAAATGGACGCATTAAAGTCAATATTGAACCCTACAGACTAAGACTGGGATGCCATTACAGTTCATGTGCGTGTAAAGGCAGGCGTCCCAATACTTTTGGCGATATAGTGTATTTTTTTAATTGTTGAAAATATATCTTCAACTGTACGGTTTCTAGAAAAGCAGAAAGGGCATTTACCTGAGATGTATATATTATTCTTTAATGTGCAGGCAGCAAATTCAGACTTGGTATATCCTGGCATGCTGGCAAGAGGCTTCCACTGCCCACTCTTTGGATAGTAACATTCAGTAAAGGGTAATTTTAAAAGTCCCTTCTTATCACAACCGCCGATAATGACGATGGCTTCCGACAAGTCTGCGAATCTGCAAGATAGCATAGGAAACAGTAAACTTCAATTGCTCTTTTATTGTTCCCAAATTGTTCAGTGACTGAACACTAAAGATGAGCAAAAATTTGCAAAATTGCCCACAATTTTCATGAAAATTTAAAAAAGGTTTGCAAAATGTCCACACTTTGGTGAAATTCATTTGAGTCAGTGAGGAATATAAAATTAAAGGAGAACTATGGGGTTAGGGCTTTTACCCATAGTTCTCCTAAGGGTAACAGGAGGACACAAACTAGTGTCCTCCTGTCACCCAAAGCTCAGTATAAGCCGCAGCTGAAATGGATCCCGACATTACTGTCTGGATCCACCCAGCTGTGTGAGTGATAGCTGGCTCTGCCTATCTAGAGGCAGAGCCAGCTGTGCCCGCCCCCTCCCCCGTCCGTTCCGGACAGGGGAGGATCCAGTCACTCCCCTGTCACGGCTCTCTGCAGTGACAGGAGCGAGAGGTGAGCGAACCTGGTATGTGTTCGCTCACTTCCCGATCTACTGAGCCGACCTGTGACAGTCTCATTGTCACAGGTCGGCTAGAATTATGAGGATGAGTGAAAATCACTCACCTCATAGTTCTCCTTTAAACAGTTTTTTTTAAGGGTACAGTGGGCTTTAAATGGCTTCTAAGGGTTACATAAGCTCCTTTATACTACTGTAGACCTGTTCTTGTGCCTTATTGTTCTCTGTTTTTGTTTTTTTCACACAAAGGAAAAGAAAAACTGAAAAAACAGAGCACAATTCACAATCAAATACACAAGAGGAGAAAAAACAGAATGAACACTACATGTAATAAAACTGCATAGCTTAAACACCCTCTAAAACAGGGGTAGCCAAACTCCGGCCCTCCAGCTGTGGTGGAACTACAAATCCCATGAGGCATTGCAAGATTCTCACAGCCACAGACATGACTCCCGGAGAGAGATGCATCATGGGATTTGTAGTTTCACCACAGCCAGAGGGTCGGAGTTTGGCTACCCCTGCACTATAGCATCTGCAGCACCATGTGCAGTGACGTGTCTATCCGGGTAGCTAGCTGCACTGTTGGTTGAAGTCAATGCCAGCCTCCAGCTTCGTAATACAGAGCTGGTGACCCAAGTCCAGTTACGATAGAATGTTTCAGGACAACCTGTGAGTGCAAATGAGTATAATTTCGGGGGAGCCCCAAAAACATTTTTATCACCTAAGTATACATACGTTTTGGTTAATGAAACTTGGATACAGGATGAAACGCAAATGACGAAACAAATTCTACTTTTTATTACCTCCTTGGCCTTGCTCTGAGAGAGTTTACTGGATTCCCAAGAATATGGAACATCCGAGCCTCATGCAACAAAGGGAAACACTCTGGACAGTTCTGCATAGTCTTATCTATTTCCACCTTCTCCAGAAAATAAGCAGGGTCCAGCAACGGCAGCCTCACATGTTCCAGAAGATCCTTCAAAGCTTTACTTCCAGTAGTCTTGTTTTCCTTGACCCACCGCATGACGGCTTCAAAGACAACTTCCTCTTTGCTCACCACCAGGTCATCATTGGACAAGTACTCGATCAGTTCCTCTTTGCTCAGTTGCGTGAACTCCTCATGGCAGGAGACCTGCTCAAAACCTTCCAGCACAAGCTTTTTGCTTTTCTCGGACAGAGAAGCGATTGAGAACAAATCTGCGAACTTCATGATGCCAACACAGTTGGAAGGGTCCAGTTGGCTGTCCAAAAATTTCACACACTCATCTCTTAAACTGTAAATGTGGAGGAGATCTGAAGCCTGCAAGAGCTCTTCCACATTGTCTTCTTGTATTGGTGGGTTCCCACCATACATGTAGTCCAACAGAAAGCCCATGATTCGGGCTGATAGCTTTTGAATGTTGATAACACTGAGATTGCTCTCCTTGAGGCTTCCTCCAAACATGGCTCTGAAATAAGAACTGTTGGCTGACAAAATGCCGCGATGGCAGGGGAAGGTCTGGTCTTCAATTTGGAGGACCACGTCAGTAAAAATCCCACTTTTCCTGTAAATGTTTAGACTCTGTAGGATCTCCCTGGCATGGCACGCCCCGCCGCAAGGCCATATCTGTTGTCTCACCATTCTTGGCTCCTGGAAGGAGTTTTCAAGACTGATAGATTCTGATGTTAGTTCTCCTTTAGAAGTCTTTTCCATCCTGCAAAAAACAAGACAATGATTAGAGGTGAGCCAGGAAATTAATAACAGAAGACTTGTTACGTTGGAAAAATGTAATTAGAGTTTTTATTAGAAAACATTAAATTGGCACCAATGGGACTTGCTACTTCAGAAATGCTTAAATTTGGGAGATTTGCCAATTTTTAAAGTAACTTTCACTAAACCACAAGTGACAGAACTTTTCACAAGTTTACTCAACTCCATTCCCCAACACAAGAGCGTCCCCCCTCCTCTCATGCTATTGGCTAGAATCTGCATAATGTTTGTGTGGCTTCTCGCGTTGCTTTATCTTACATAGTTACATAGTTACATAGTATTTGAGGTTGAATAAAGACATTAGTCCATCAAAATATTATATGGCTCACAGCAGCACAGTAATAAACAAGCCTGGTGGATATGTCATGTTAGAGACGCAGCATTCCTAACACAAGTCGTATGGAATTGACTGGTTTTCATGTTTCCTGTTTTGCTACATAAGCACGCCCTTAATAAAATAATTTGCACCATCATTTTTTTTTTGTGGCTCATCACTGTTAAAAAAAAACTTTATTAATTCATGTGCAGCACATCTGCAGAGGCGATCAGGACCTTGGCTTCTGTGAGGACGGAAACATTTCAAATTTTTTAAGCCAACTCACATCTGCTTCTCTGGGTCCACAAATCGTCTTTACCAAATGACAATATTTACTCTCAGATAAGAAGCCACTTAGACGTGCAGCTGATTTTAGGCTCTAGTAAATACCCAGAATCCCCTGCAAGGCCCAGGCGCTGACTAATTGTCTTTGCCGGGGGGGGCACGTGCCAAAAGCAATTAGGGTAGCACAGGCTGCAGCAGGGGGAATCCTCGATTTTAATTTTTAATTTGCCTCCTCTGTTTATGAGCAATATGGCCGGTAACACAGGAGATCTCCATAAAGGGACTTTCTGTGCAATGAATACATTTTAATTCAAAATACATCTTAATTAAACTCGAACTGGATAACAATTCATTTCTTGAAGCACCGCGTTATCATGAACAAATGGCATTTAAAAAAAATAAAATACTGTTTTCTCCTTTTTCTATCTTTTATTCCATCTCAGTTCTGCTAATCTCCTCCTCTGTCGGCTACTTCCTGTCTACATGCACTTACCCCAGGGTTGGTCACACATCATTTTTCTGAACTATATATATATATGTGTGTGTGTGTGTGTCTTAATAGGCAAAGAAGCTGCTATTTTGAATGTGCCTGAAACAGAAAAAAACCTCAAAAATAAAACAGCGTAAATTCATATAATAATAATAATATAAATACAAATAAAATAATAAAGACAATGATATAAAAATGCCTGAGCAATGTGTGTCAGCACAGCCCCCTGCGGTCCCCAACCAGGGACAGGATGACAGCGGGGGGAGCACAATTGAGACACAGAAATAGGCAGTTGTCACCTTTTTTCATCCTATTTTCCCTTTCAGTTTTGCTGATCGCCTCCAGGCTCTTTCAGCTACCTCCTGGATCGACCCCTGATAGTGACTACGGTGGACCATAATAATATGTGTCGGCACAGGCACGCGTTGCCTCCACCAGGGACGTGTGTGACCACGAGGAGCTCAGTTCGGAGATAACTGTCACCCTATAACAGGAAGAGCCTGAACAAGGAGGCTCATGGCAGGATTACTACCAGGGATTAGAATATTGAAAGCTGCAGATTTAAGTAGATTGAACATCTATTGAAATGACATTAACATGTTGCAGTTTCTAGGAGATTTTTGGTGATTTGGGTTTACATTCATTTACAGAATCACCAGGTATTTACGTTTTTGTTCTTGTCTAATGAATTCATGTCTCTGCCGGTCATAATTTATTTTTACTGCATCCGGATAAGAAGTTATGTTGTCAGACGTTGACAGACAGACAGGAATTGAAATTGCAGGTGTATTCCCCAGTTTCCTGCTTTGATGTTGCTTGGTGCACAGTTGCAGCGCAGCATTTTAAGGGTAATATCACCTCCTGAATGCCTACAAACCTTGGCTCAACCATGCCTGAGACAAGGTACACCATGGATCATTTTTTCAGGGGGAATGGTAAACCCTGACGCTCACATAAAAGAGGCCTTGCAGTAGAATGGTCCGTCCCTATTGCCCAGGCCCCTCCCCCTTTTACAAATAACCTGCTGTTAGCAGGTGTAAAACATACCTGTAAAAAGTTATATTATATATATATATATTATTTCATATCGCTGGAAGTGACAACACCTCCCTTCTCCAAACCTGAAAGGAAGCTCCTCCCGCTGTCACCCAATCAGCTGAGGCCACGTAATCCACTACCCAAAGCTGTATGTAAGCAAAGTGAAGGGATGCAGTGATGTAATTGACCTTATATGGCCACATGGCTATATTTGGTCAATGACACTGACCTAATATACCCATGTGGCCATATAAGGCCAATGAAATCATTACAAGCATCCCACCCCTTTGATTATGTGCAGCTGCAGGGAGGGGAATGCCCCAGCCCACAGCTGATTGGGTGGGTGGCCCCATGTCTGTTCCAGGTTTGGACAATCTCAGGTCCTGGTGGAACCTGAGCTCATCCTTACTCATCACTATGGCCAAACAAGGAATGGCGATTAGACCCCACTAACCATTAGATAACCAAATCAATGTTCTTAAAGGAACAATTTCAAACAAAATGAAACTGGTGTATGGCCAGCTTGAGCAGACCGTGCAATTTACTGCCAAGTCAGCTTTAATGCGCCTGTTATCAATATTCTGCTTTCCTCAGTGAATGTCTGCATGTCGCCATTCCTATGTTCTCACACACATGTCGCCGCCCCTGTCTGACTTCTCGCTCTCACACACACACGTGCTGTGTATTGCAGACAGATGTGGTAAGACGTGTTTGTGTGACCCGTGAGAAGCCGAGTCTTCTGAGGTTAGGCGTTGAGCCAGCTCGCCGTCTGCCTTGAAGAAAAAGGGAAATGGTTTTAGGTGAAGTAGCAGATCTGTTCCGTGGCCGGTCTGTCCTCCAGAGTTCACGCAGAGGTGACTTCTACAGATCTGCAAACATGTGGCATCGCACAATCGGCATCATTCCAAATGACCAGCCTGCCATACAATGCTCCAGATCAGGGCTCATGCACACACTGGTACAGAAAAAGTTGCAATTCCCATCTGCTGTGCATTGCAGAGGCTGAACGATGATTTCTGATTGGCCGCCCTGGGTTCCTGTTTTGTAGGGATGCGCTGATACCGATACTAGTATCAGTACTGATACCGAGTATTTGAATGAGTACTCGTACTCGCCCAAATGCTCCGAAACTTACACTTGATACCGGAACTTCTGGACAGAGGAAGATTTCCTCTGACCGGTGTTCTATCGAAAACTCCAACTCGTCGAAATCTCCAACTACCTCACTGCCGGGTACTTGTAAGTTGGAGATTTCGACCAGACGGCGTTAGACTGCAAAACACAAAGACTGACGGAGCTCTGTACAGCTGCATTTTAACAATATTCAGCAGGTGGCAAAGCCGAAGAGTATTCTGAAAGTATTCTGAGCTCCAGTCTTTCAGAGCACCGGAAGTGAGGTAGTTGGAGATCTCGATGAGTTGTAGCTTTCGATAGGACATCGGCAGTGCCTATAAGGGAACATGGTGCCGACTTCCCGGCTAATCAGGAAGCCAGGCGTTAGGTAATTACTTTCCGCCCGGCTTCCTGATTGGCCAGGAAGCTAGTTCCATGCTGTTTGGCCAGCTCGATGCTTATTGTTTGGGAAGCCGGCTTCCCAGCCAAGCAGCATGGAGCCGGCCAAACAGCATGGGGCTGTCTTCCTGGCCAATCAGCATGGAACCAGTCAAACAGCATGGAGCCGGCCAAACAGCATGGAGCCGGCCAAACAGCATGGAGCTGGCCAAACAGCATGGAGCCGTCATCCCTGCCAGTCGTGTCATTACCAGCCGCCTGGCTTCTTAATTGCACAGAAAGCCAGCTTCATGATAACGGAAGTACCGGTACCGGTACTCAGTATCGGTGAGTACTGAATGATAAATATCGGTACTCGTACTCAATACCGAAAAGCGGGTATCGGCGCATCCCTACCGTTTTGATTAGCCTTATTCAAGTGAACTTGTGCACCCCTGACAGAAGGGTAACTATGGTCAAAAGTGAATCTTTATGTCTATATTGAATTTCCATAAGTTCTGTCCAACTCCTAATAACCTAGAAGATTGTAAACTTACTTATTGAAGATGCCCATAGGATGGACTTCCTCAATGCAATGAGACAGTTTCACTCAGCCCGGTGAATATGTACTTCCTTGTGTCACCACCCTCATAGAGCCTGCCGTCTGAACTACAACTCAACATCTGAACAATGTAACATTATCACTGCTTGCTGGAAGCAATGCATGATGGGAGATGTAGTCTTAAGTAATGGAGATTGCATCACATCAAGCAGCAGGGAAAGAGACGCAAAGCACGCTGGGAATCCAGGAAGTTGGTGGAAGTGATGGGCAGACGGAAGTCAGCGCTCACTACATAAAAGGGATTTTTTCCTGTAAGCTTTGATTTCATTATCAGAGACAGCTCTACTATGTATTCCTATTACAATGCTGATGTCATAACAGGAGAGGAAATGCTAGAAATGTACAACTTCTTATAACAACACATCCTCTGTCATCCTCTGAATATCACACATGAAAATATTTACAATTTCACTTCCTGTCTGATGTTTTCATCACATTGTATCCACATTGTCACCATTCACACAGTTACACTGTAAATCCCCTAGAGCCAGGAAGCCGGCCATTATTGATCCGTGGCTGTCTGCTAAAGGTTGTTATATACAATTGAGGTTACCAAAGTGACACCAGGGACGTATAGACCAACGACGAGACATAAAACAACATCGCAGTGTCAGAATGGCGCTGTCCTCGGCAAGTGTTATATCCTGCCTAAGGACCCATTCACATCGTTGCACTGACAGAAGGCGCTCATTACTGCAA